TTTTTTGGCTTTAGTTCAAAATAGATGACGCCTTGATTCTTGTCAACATGTGCTAAAGTGTGTGTGCTCGTTTCTTTAACACAATTCCAAAAAATTATAAAATTTCATATGTACTATGATTAAATATGGTTGAATTTTTGTCAACACCTGCTAACTATAGAATGAAAAGCTAAACCTACCGCTGTTAAATTAAACGAGCCTGACTCGGCTCGAGTTCGGCTCGTTTAGGCTCGAGTTCGGCTCGGCTCATTTGGTAAATGAGCCGAGCTCGAGCTCTATAATAGGCTCGTTTCATTAACGAGCCGTGCCGGCTCGGCTCTCTAAAAGCTCGGTCTTTTATGTAATTTCCTAATATTCACTTTTTCCCTTCCTTTACCCTAATTTCTTCAGCTCATTTTCATTTCACATTTTCCCTACACTAAATCAGATTCCGCCGTCATCCTCGTATCCCAATTCTCAAACCTCAAATCTCAATTCCTCATCCCTTCTTCAACCTCGCATCTTCAATTTCTCATCCCGCAGTCATCCACTCATCCCGTAGTTCCTCAATTTTGCATCCCCGACGCCTTTGTGATATCTTCACTGCGGCACCGCCTCAACCCCCCGTCGGATACCACGCCTAACGCCTCTGAGTCGGCGATCTTTGTTATTTGGCCGAAAACTGGTAAGTCAATTTTACTGATTACTTGAAATTTGATTTTACATGGTCTATCGGAGCTCAAGTTTGAAGTAAAAGCATTCTTCCTTATCAAATAAATTCCTTGCGAGGAGACTGTCAAGAGCAGAATTGAGACTAATTGACCTCTATCTAGTGTTGGGAGGAAGTTTTTGAATCAAAGAAGGGCTTTCAGTTTTTTTCACCATTTGAAAATATTATCAAATAGTTAGTTGAATCTTTCAAGCTGAGGTCCCCATTTCAAGCACAGGTCACATTTGAAATATCCATTCTTTTGTAACTTTTAGTCCTCACCTTCAATTATTTTTGTTATTTTATTAGAGAAATTAGTAAAAAAATCACGTTAAGTAATTAGTGAATTTTTGTGAAAATTTGAGATTTTGAGTTGTAAAACTTTAAATTTCTCAGCCACAAGCACTTGTTTAATTTCATGTTTATTTCAAATTTCTATCCTTTATAAAATTTGGTTGAATATTGATATTTATTTTGTAATGTGGTATGAGTCATTGAAATCAAAGTTCTTGATTTATTATTGTATTCATGTTTTACCATATCAACATTCAACAGGTATGTCCAGCCCCCTTTTCAGCTCAAATCAAGGTTCGTGTCCAAACATTGGTATGGATCAACTGAATGAAGTTGATATTGAAGAAAATCCAGATGTAATGAGTGAGGAAGAGCTTGAAATTATAGATGAAGACAAAGAGCAGACCAACCCGGAAGGTGAAGGTGGAGATAAACCATTTGAGAAAAAGAAACGAGGAAAGAAGTCAAAAGTGTGGGATAATATGGAAGTCGTAACGCTGGAGAATGGAACAAAGAAGGTGAAATGCTTGCACTGTCTCTCATTGTTTACAAAGGCAATTGAACTCCGAAGTTCATAACAAGATGACGCAACAGGTTTTGTCGTTTTCAAAACATCAAACTGATGGTATCACTTCTATTACCATTTTTTCATACGATCATGCAAAGGTGCGAGAGTTTGCATCTCATATGGTATTAGTGCATGAATATCCATTTTCTATGATGGATCATCATGTTTTCAACAAGTTTATGAAAGCTGTAACTTCATTATATAAAAAGATTACCTGTCAGCAAGTAAAAGAAGATTGTTATACAACTTATCAGATAGAAAAGTGAAAGTTGAAACTTCTCTTAAAGGGTGCTAGTCGGGTTTCTATAACTACTGATTTGTGGAAATCTGGTCAAAAAATTTAATACATTGTTGTGACAGAGCATTTTGTTGATTCTGATTGGGTGTTGCAAAAACGTGTTTTGAACTTTTGTAACGTACCTCCTCCACATACAAGAATCATTATAACTGATGCATTAAGTAAGTGTTTCAGTGATTGGGAGATTCAGAACAAAATTTGTTGCATAACCGTCGACAATGCTTCCTATAATGATTTGTGTATCAAGAGACTTAAAGAGGATTTTGCTTTAAGAAATAAATTAAGTATTGGTGGAAAAATATTTCATGTGAGGTGTTGTGCTCATATACTTAATCTGTTTGTAAAAGATGATGGTTTGAAAAACATTGGAAATGTGGTTGATGTCGTTAGAGAAGGGATTAAGTACTTGAATAATTCAAAGTCTCGTCTCATTCAATTTACAAAAATTGCAAAACAATTGCAGTGTCCTTTTAGAAAGTTGATTTTGGATTGCACAACTAGATGGAATAATACATATCTCATGTTGGCCTCGGCTTTAGAGTTTAAGAATGTTTTTCCAAGGTATAAGGATATTGATGTTGGGTTTAGTTATGTTCCAGATGAATACGAGTGGGCCGAAGTGGAAGAAGTGTGCAAATTTCTAGGTATCTTTTATGAAATCACTAACATGATTTCTGGATCCGACTATCCAACCTCTAATCTTTTTCTTGTGGAGCTTTATAGGGTTAAAGAGTTGTTAAAAAAAAAAAAAGGCTTTAGATGAATCTGAGCACATCAGGGCTATGGCCTTGGATATGGAATTGAAATTCGCCAAATATTGGGGAGAGTATAACATGTTGTTGTCATTTGGTGTTATTTTAGATCCGAGGTATAAAATGGTGCTTATTAATCATGCTTTTCCGATAATTTATGGTGAAGTAAATATTGTGGAAAAAGCCGCTGAAATTAATGAGCTTCTTTATGAGCTTTATAATGAATATGTTGATGCTCATATAATGTCTTGTGCCGAAGAACCAACAAAGAAGCACTTAAAGCGGAAAAAAAAAAATGAGATTGGCTCTTCTTCTGTTCAATTTCAAGGAGGTGAGAAACCTGGAGTCAATGTTCTCACTGGTAGGGAAAAGTTTATGTTGCATGTGAGTGAAATTGATAGAGCCCCCCCAGAAAAATCAGATTTAGATTTGTACCTATAAGAAGGTAGATACATTTGTCATGCGTCGGCTAACCTTGATGTTTTAGCATGGTGGAAGGGTGAGCGTCTGAGATTTCCAATATTATCAAAAATGTCATGTGATATTCTTTATGTACCAGTTACAACTGTGGCCTCCGAGTCTACCTTTAGTGCTGGTCGTCGAGTAATTGATGATCGACGAGCTTTATTGTCGGTCGAGACTGTGGAAGTACTACTTTGTGGTAATGACTGGATCCGGAATCATTACGGGGTGAAAACCAGACCTCGTGGAAGTGTAATCAACATACTTATATTTTTTTAAAATTGAATTTTCACTTCTTTTATAACTGTTTTTTTAATATCTGTTTTTGTGTTAGTATAATGACTTCTTTATTTTTTTATTGTAGGATGAAATGGATGTTTTTGATGTTTCTTAGTCATCAACCTATCATGAAGTTGAACTTCCTCAAGCTTGATCAAGTGGCAGTGGCAAACCTGCTAGTTTTTTGGCATGGAAACCTTTTTGCAAGATGCTTTTATTCACTGAAACCTTTAAAAACAATAGATGTTATTTTTGCAATGAATGCTATGTACTCAAATTTGGTTGTCTTTTTATTCACTGAATATTTTGTAATATTTATGTTTGGAGGATGGAACCTGATATTATGTTTTGTAGTACTTATGTTTGTATGATTGGACTTAAAATTATGTTTTGGACTTTCAGCTATTTTGGCATTGTAATTGACTTGTTATTTTTGCCTATTTGTAATTTTTTTTATTCCAGGTACATTTGAGTTTTTTACAAGAAAGAACAATAAATATAACTTACAGGATTTTCGAGCTCGAGCTGAGCTCGAGCCGAGCCTTAACGAGTATATTCTCATCAAACGAGCCGAGCTCGAGCTCGAGCTCAAATGTACAGGTAACGAGCCGAACCGAGTTTCACATGTAGCTCGTTAATCTTATCGAGCGAGCTCGAGCCTAGCTCGAAAAAAGATCGAGCCGAGTGCGAGTATCAAGTACTCGGGCTCGGGTCGGCTCGTCTACAGCACTAGCTAAACCTAAGTTGAACACTCGAAACTAACTTGAAAACTTAATAATAATAATGATAACTATAGAATCTATCCAATCATTGGTGCCTCCGAAAACAATTGAGCTTGCCGAGAAACTCGCGCACCAACCACCCAGACATTATCCCGTAACCCTCTTGCGTCAAGTGTATCCCGTCCCAACTCACGAACCAATTCGCATTCCTACAAATCGGAACTCTGTGGGCCCCACACATGCTCGTCATGTTGAAATTCTACTTCCCTCCCGTCCCACAACACGCTTTTTCCGAATCAAGACCTTGCACAAAAAAAAAAGTCGAATTTCAAAACATCAAATTACTTAATTTTTCGATTGAAGCTATATATAATTTGTGATTTGTGTGTGTTTTACGCGTTGTACCATGATGTCTGGCGAAATGTAGAAGGAACTCGTAAGCATTGTAATAATCCACGTACACGGTTTTTGTGCATTTGGCTTCTCTTCTTGAATCATCTGGTTAATCACGTTCTGCAGCTCCTGTTTGTGGTACACTGCAAACTCGTTTAGTTGCTTGAGGCATTGGTTATTGTCGTAATCTGACGAATTGTTTGTTTGGAAGTCAGTCTTGTAAATCAAGAGGCAGCCGATCGGGAAGTTACCGGGCACAACAACTCTCTTTGCCCCCAGATCAAATGTTCTCTACAAAAATTGGTAAGAAAAAAAAAAAAAAAAAAAAAACTGAACCAACATTAAGTAAAATTATTTCCTTTTTCCCTTAAAACAAAAACATATGTCCAAAATCTTGTTTATATTTTTTGGGGTTAATTGTCAATTAAACCTTGACCTTTTCACTTTTGGCAATTTAATCTAAACTTCTAGATAAATGCAATATAATTCCAGCCTTGTTTTACGTTTGCGAAATGAGCTTAAAACCCATCGGACGGTGAAAAGGTGCCAACGTGTCCGGTTGGTTTTATCTACGTGTAATTTTGAGTTTGTTGAGTAAGTTTAAGTGAAATACGTGAATTTTCTAAAAAAATGGTATAAAAACGATTCCCTTCTCCAATTTCAGAAATTCCCCAAATCGACATCGACTAACCCTAACTTTTCAAAGAAGAAAAAATCGTTGTCGACTACAAAAATCAAACCCTACAAAAATCAAACCCTACAACTGAATACACAACGAATTGGTCCCAATTGCATGAGAGTTTGTGTTTCTGCGTTTGAGATTCCTTCTGAGGGTGCTTTCGACATTCCTTATATGTCGAGAAAATGACAGACAGGTGCCGACGAATTTCTTCTATTCTTTATTTCTTATTGTCTGTGTTTTGTACCCGAGGTAGTGCGACAAATTTGGAATATTGTTTGTTTTTTAATTTCTTGTATACTCTTTGTCATGTGGTTTGTGCATTTTTTATTTCGAGATTGTGGTCCATGTTCTGTTTTCGAGAGT